TGAGTTTGAAAATCTCTCATTACTAGTAAGACATAAGAACAATCAGAAAAAAGAATGAAAAAATTCTGAAAAAAGCCTAAGATACATGTGTGACAACATGAAAAGGAATAACCTACAGGTGATCGTAACTCCTAAACAGGAAGAGACAAAGAAAACCACAGAAAAGATAGTCAAAGAGCTGCTGGAAGAAAATTTCCCTAACATCATGAAAGATAAAATGCTAAAGTATTCAGGAAGCTGAGCAAACCCAAAACAGGCTAGACATCAATAGAAAACTTACCATATTAAAATTCTCCAAAAGGAACAACAACGAAAAGAATCCTGTAAACAACTCAGGTGAAAAGAAATGTTATCTACAAAGGAAGATCAATAAGATTAAGTTCTTACTTCTCAGCAGAAACCATGCAGGAAAGAAGGCAATGGGGAGACATATTCAAAATTCTGAAAGAAAACAACTGCCAACCAAGAATCATACACCCAGCAGAAGTGCCCCTCAAATACAACCAGTGAAATCAAGACATTTCCAGATAAACAAAAATTAGTAAAAACCAAGCCAACTTTACAAAAAATACTAAAGGTAGTACTTTGGCCTGGAAACCAACAACAGCAGACAACAACTATAGATTGACACAGTAGCACCACCCAGAATTTAATCCACAAAGAAGTATACAGAGTAAACCAAAACTGAAGACAGGGAATCAGAGGTATCAATCTATAATGAAGACAACTACAAAGCAAAAAGAAGAGAAAGTATAGTTACAGAATACCAAATGAGGAGATGGCAAGCAGATTTCATGATAAAACCAACTGTTCAAATTTAGAAAACAAATTAATAAATTACAGAATAACTTCAAAGAAATGTAATACACTTTCACATCAAATCAAAAAGGGAAATCCATGAAGATTTTATAAACATTAAAACTATGAAGAAGTGAAGCCCCCCAAAATGAATTCAGCACATAAAAAAATGCAAACCAAAAAAAAAAAAACAAGCAGCATCACACATAAACACACAAACCACAAACACCCAGTGAAAACACTGCAATAAATCCATACTTATTAACAATTCCAGTGAATGTCAATAGATTGAACATACCAGTCAAGAGACAAAGAATAAAAGAATGGATAAGAAAACAGGATCCTTCCATATGCTGCCAAAAAGAGACACATTGTACACTCAAAAACAAAGAGAGATCAAAATAAAAGATGGAAAATCTTTTATCAATCTAATGGAAATCAAGCAGGAGGGGCATGCATTATTAATCTTTGATAACACAGACTTTAAGGCAAAAATCAGCATAAGCAACCAGGAAAGACAGTAACATATGATTGAAGGATCAACTGAACAAGAGAACATAACCAATACTATGCTCCCAATGAAACTCAAAATACATAAATTAAACCTAATGAAATTAAAGAAATAGATAACTCTACAATAGGATATCTTAATGCACCACTATCAAAAAAGAACAGAAAGAAACTCAACAAATACACAGAGGACCGCAATCTATCAACACAATCTATCAACCTGACCTCATATATTTACATATTTCATAGAGCACTCAAATCAACAACAGCACGATACACATTCTTTTCCAGTGCATACGAAACATTCTCCAGAATAGAATATGTAGCCTCCATATATTAGGGCACAAATACATTTTAAAACATCAAGATACTGCAAACTGTTTTCTCATAAAGCTATATAAGATTAGAAATCAACAACAGAAAGATAAAGTAAAAAATTAAATAAATGGAAACTGAATAACATCCTGCGTAAAAGCCACTGAGCAATAAAACAAAAAACAAAAAATTTTAAATTCTTGAAACAAATGAGAATGAAAACACAACATACCAAAAACATTTGGGACACAACAACAAAAAATGCTTACAGGACAATTTATAGTAATAAATACACATCTTCAAAAAGAAGAACCAGAAAGGAACAAACAAGATGGCGGA